AAAGCTTTCTCGTAGCGTTGGTGGAAAGTATACTAAGTTTTGGTAAACTGCAGTGTACTCGTGCTTCCGAACCAAGAATTGGCCCCTCTTTTGCAATAGCCCCCTCTAAGCCATCACTTACCTCGCAATCACGGCAGGCGCTATTCTACCGCTTACCGGAGGTGGTTGCCAACGGTAGTGGTACACCTGGCAGACCTTCAGCCCTTGTCCAGACTACTAAGTACTAGCCTAGTGGAGCAATTGTGATTAAATGTGCACAGAGGATGATGCTCCGATCATGACCATGCTGGGTGTTACTCAGTTTGTGCATTCTCAGCCCAACACCCCCTTAAAGTACCTATTAGCATGGCCATGACAGAAACGAGATTTTCTGAGGACTCCCCAGGACAACCCACAACCCACTGGAAAAACACCTGTCCTTGTGGGCTAAGACCTACGAGGGCTACACTGCCATGAAATTCGGCAACAAGGAAAGGGATCCCTACGTCTGTTCCCGAGTTTCACGCACTTTTAGTGAGTGCGGAATGTGGTCGTCTAATACCCGTTTTGGTGAGATGGTTGCAACCATTATCTCTTAGACCGCTTAATTTTTGGAAATTATGTCAATCCTCACATCGTCTGGGACAGCGCATGCTTTAGGTTACTGCTGTAGTTCTCATTTGTTCTCAGCATCCTTCTTGTAGCAGAAATTCTGGAGAATGCGCTCTTGCGAATTTCTAGTAACCAACAATCATATTGCTTACTAATTGTGATAGGGGTGGCAAGAAAATTTTAAGGTTCACGTAGTCCCAGAGTTACTCGTGCCAAGGTTGCAGTGCTAGGGCGCTCCATCCCCCAAAATTTCGCTGGCTCAATTTTCAGGGGCACTCATCCTGAGTGCCCAACAGCTCAACATGACTTTGCAGCTCAACATCACTTTTGTGGCTTTGCATCATTTTTGTGGCTCAACATCACTTTTGTGGCTCAATCTCACCTTTGTGGCTCAATCTTACCTGTAATTCTATGTGCTCCATACTTGTAATTCTAAGCATTGTATTTTGATAGTTTAGTATAATATATCTCTAATAAATACAAGATTACTTTCTACATGTTTACAGAAACTCTCTATCTATAAGACCACAATTTTTCCACTATATACAAATTCCAAACTTTACAATATGCCATCTGCACCCTCTTTTACCCTACCCAGAAAAGAAAAGAAGAGATGGAGGTTGAAAAGGTAGAGAAACAACTACTATGAGTTCAAAATGCTCAAAAATAAGTTGAAAAGACAGAGTGAAAACCATGACTAGATGAAATGAAGAGACATGTCAAACAAGGACACCTTGTGCAAGGATATAAAAAAATTATCCAAAATGATAATTGCAGGTATTGAGAAGCAAGTAAGGTTGAAAAGAATTCCTGTATACTAGATTTTCAATTCTTTCTATTATATCAAACAAAAACAATTGGTAATGAACAATCATGTTACATGAAGCCACAAAAGTGATGTTGAGCCACAAAAATGATGCAAAGCCACAAAAGTAATGTTGAGCTGCAAAGTGATGTTGAGCTGTCGGGCACTCAGGTTGAGTGTTCCTGAAAACTAAGCCAGCGAAATTTCAGGGGTTGCAGCGCCCTAGCGCTGCAACCTTGGCACAAGTAGCCCTGTGCTTGAAAACAGTAGAAGGGATAACGAAAGTTCAAGTTACGACTGCCATAGGAAAACCTTCCCACCATGGGAAATCCCTGAATTAGGGGAACAATAAAAAATATGAAAACGTAAAAGTACATTATACAAGTAATAACACTCATATGATACAAAGTCCCAGTGGGCTAGTATAATATAATAAGGATAAGAATATAACTGAACAAGAAAGTCTAAAATGCCGCTCCCGGTCCTGATCAAGTAAAAAAATCATAGACAGACGGCAGGAAAAAAAACGTGAAAAAAAAAGCAAACCAAACTATATAATGAAAAAAAAAGAGAAACTCCTTCACCATCCAGCCTACTGCCCACATTGTCCCTTTCGCTGCACTGTAAAGACAGCTCATTCGGTCCTATATACTGAGTCAGCACGTTCACTACTGCTCACCTCTCCACCACAACCTTGAAGGAAGGTTGTCACCCTAATTTAAAAAGCCTGTCCCGGATGAAGGACTCCCCGGGAAATGTAAGCCCGGTCTGGGGCTAGTGGGTAAGGCCTCTCCTCATACCTTTCTCTCAGCGTTCGCAGGCGGCCAGGCCGGCCTGCAGATAGCCTGCAGATGCATAGTCCGGCCCGGCCGGGTTAAAGTGAAACTGACCTGGGCTTTGTAGGCCAGGCTTTGGTGAAGCCTATAGGCTACATGGATGCCTGGGGGTACCTGTAGGTTTTGGCATATGCCACCTGACCAGTAAATATTTTGTCTGTGCACCACTGATATCTGAACATGCCTGCAGATATCCGCAGTCCGGCCAGGGCCGGTCACCAATGAAGCCCAGGCCGGCCGCCCTAGACCTCAAGCCTGGCCGGACTGGCCGCTTGCAAGCACTGCTTTCTCTAACAAATGGTATGTTTCTGCCATCGAACTGCGCCATATGGTTCACAAAGACATCGAGCCGAGTTCGCAGATCCACCAGCTCAGCTCTGCATCAGCAATGCGAGGCTGGATCTTTTGGTTGTGGGATTATTTTGATTGGCCTTAGACGGATACGGTGGTTCATGACAAGTATAATAGCGGCCCCGATTGTCGCGAGCCAGGGAGCATAGTATTGCAAGAAATCTTCAGGTGTGATTAAAGAAAGTTAGAGAAGCGAGTATGTGCCGGAATGCTGTAGGGTTTCCAGTACTAACCTTGCCATACGGAGAATAATGGTGGTAGAAAGACGTGTTTGCTTGTGCACACAGATCGGAGGAGAGGGGAGAAGATGTTCAATACTCTGACAAAAAGCTAACCAATGGTCCACCTATATAGACGACACCACTGTTGGGGTAGTGCCCCACATAACCACCACATCTAGGGTGTAACCCCATACAGATAACACACTCCATGACTATCACACAGCCACCTACACATCTACATGCTCCAGCATCTCCATCCTTTTCCCATAGCAGGGTTATACTTCCATCAGAGGATTCAGACATTGTAGTGATAGTGCTCGCTGGGGTAGATTCTGGTTGGATGAGGGGAATGGGCTTAAAGGAATGTGGGGCGGTAGCGGTGATATGTGATAGCACGGAGGTAGATGGTGAGAAGACTGTAGTGAGAGGGAGGATTGTAGGGAAAAGATTGTGGAAAGAGGATTGTCGGAAGAGGGAGAATTTTTTCGGTTGAGTGAAGGAAGCAGAGACGTATGTCAAACGCCCGTAGACAACGCATATCCAAAAATCCTTTCCATGATCATTACGCGTCCCTCCGGTACAGGAACAATGGGGAGGTTCGAAGTTCTCGGCAGTGTTCTCAACCGTCTGGGGCCCCCGTAGGGCCCGACGGAGGGACACCAAGAGCCCGGGACGGGACGGGACGGCAACATATAGTCCGTCCTCGTCCTTGAACTCCTAGGACGGCCGTCATGAGGAAGGACGATGAGCCCCACGATCTGAGGCAACTTGTAGTAGGGGACCGCAGGTGACAACATAGGTCCACCGGGGATCGTAGGGGACGGTGGGGGACGGTGGGGAAGGTCTGGGGGTTTAAGGGACGGTAGGGGACGGTGGGTGACTGTGGGTGACGGCAGGGAACTGTCGGTGGATGGTCATTTACTCTTATGTGTCGGGCAAGTTTAGGAAAAGACCGGACGGGACACAATGGAGTCCGTCCTGGCCCTTCATTCCTACCTGTCGGGCATGTTGAGAAAATAACCGGACGGACTGCCCCGTTGCGAACACTGGCTCTCGGTACGCCCCACAGAGTACACAACATGCCGCACAAATACAAGTCGATTGTGAATTTTACCTGTAAAAACTGCCAATCGGGCCGTCGTATTTTCCTGCTTTTCTATGATTTGTAAGTGCTATCACGACGAAGAAATACCAAAATAGAGCAGCAGACACTGCTGTCATTAGTGTGAAAATATTTTTCAGGGGATGGCAGGGGCCATAGTCCTTTGCCCTGGGTTGCCGGGCATGTTTGGCCAAGGACTGGACTGGGCCGCTCAATGCTATCCATCGCCGTCCACCTTCAGAATGGACGGACTGCTAGGCTAAGAACATTGGGGGTCAGCAATGCAGTTGCTGGAATAGGGGGGAATTACTATCCTTCCAAGTAGAACGCGGTCTCGGGTATGGTTTCGCCAACATAAATGACGGGATGAAATCCATCAGCCAGTGGTCAGATGGGGATCAAATAAAAGGCTGCACTTGTGATGGAATCGCATGCTCAATGTTCCTGTGTCTTTGTGTCGGTGTAGAATGCTGTTGCCGAAATAAAGGTGTTTCCACTAATATTTATGGAGAGAGTTTGATTTAGATCTAATCCGGTCCCGTGGTGTAGTTGGTTCTACACCACGTCCCTTCTGACTTTTCCTTGGCTAAACTTAACCAGGTAAATCTTGACAAGCGCCGAAGACTCCTGGAACGGTCCCAACATACACACCAAAAACGGTTTCCCTTTTTTTTTTTTTCCCCCTCTACTTTCCTTCTTTCCCCTATGCTTTTCCACTTGTAAAGAGAATGTGGGAGACCTTTCAGAACGAGTCGCGTTCCATCCGGAGAAATGCACTATGGATGTTCAATGGAAGGTGGGGACATTCTTTGGGTTGCCCTATGGCATTCATTACTAGGAGGCCTTGCTTGTTTGGCCTTTGTTCGTTTGTGGTGTTTTTTACCCCCTTCCTTTCATTCTGGGCTGTCTATGTTTGTGAATGAATATCTCTTTTCTCTATAGGATATCACGAAACCATGCATCTGTGATCACCTATTGAAACCATCTATTTCTTCAAGTACCGCGCCATCTACCACCGGTGGAGCAGTCTGTCATTTTCATTTAGCATCTATCTCCCCCGTTTTATGTATCCGTTTTTCAGAAACAGCTGTTTACTTATTACCGAGTCCTACAGCCATATCTGTACCCTCGTGGATCGTCCTCACAATGGTCGAGCAGACCTTTCCGTCTTCCAACATGAGTAAGCCATAGGGAGTACAGCCAGATGGAGTGGGAACTTGCTCTCTAATGATTGCCGGATGCTGGTCAGCCAAAACCATTCTACCGGTACCTCGCGTGGCTACAATAAACCCCCACACGCCCAGCCACATCAACATATGACAAGCGAACAAACGGGGAAACAAAACCGCAATATCTGACCCTCAGCAGCCATCATCTGCCCCTCCGCCCTCTGAAACGCTTCATGACCCCCGATCAGCCACGGCCCAGATGATAGGAGCATAGAAACTAGGACTAGATCCACACGCTTAGCGATGCAAACATCCACATGGTCCTAACCGAGCACCATCGACGGGCCAATCTAGGAGAATATCCAGGAAACCAGAGGCTTCTCCTCCGGGGGAATACCGTCCGCCGCCGGAATGATGGTCATGATTTCGCGGATCTATCCAGATCAATACCCTGGACCTCCTAGAAAAAAAAAAAACAAGCACCCCCCCAAAGTGTAATAAGTGACAATAGTACCTTTGAAGCCGCATTTGACATAGCCTTAACCACCCTAGCACTACCCGGCACCACCTCTTCAATTGAGAGCAGCAATATCAACCCCAGCAAGAATACAATGAGCAGCTTACCCTCCAATGCATCACAGATGCCCTCCTCGCCCAATATCCCAGCGTGCATCTGGGGCTTCCTGCCCAAAATGACCAGGTCCGCGGGGCGCACGCCCTCAACGTTGCTGCACGTGTAGACCTCAACGGACATGCCGGCGTGGTGGAGTCCGGCCTTCATTCGGGACTCATGAATGATATGAAAGCGGTGCGGGCGCTGTGCCCACAGGCCAAGATATATATATTGCAATTATAAGGACCTCTGTGTTTCGATGGATTATCACACATACTATTTCTATTTCCACGGGCACTCTCATCGTGATGGTCCAAAAGAGTGGCTAGTGAACCGTCTCCATAAACAGCGATAGCTCCATAACGAGAACACCAGCAATCACGATCGACATGACGGTTCCTTCTTGAGCTTTCAGCCTCTCGATCCCTACTTCCTCAAAAAAACAACGGGGTAAGATAGGAATCCGGATGCGATGAAATTTCAATTGTGTTGCACGAGAACACACGAAAGAGTTAGAATTATTGCCTCTGCGAAAGGGAAGTGAAGTATATAGGGTAAGTGATTAAATGATGGTATATTTACTTGTATGTAGGTGGAGAAAAGAGGGCGACAAAGTAAATTAATAGATATAGATACTGACTGGGGAAGAAAGAGTGTTGTGCACGAGCCGAGCCGCGTGGACTCGGGCCTAGGTGGTCACTAGGCTCGAACAGGGGTCCACGAGCCGGCTCGAGTCTCTTGGCGCTGCTGCCGCTTATCCGTCAAACCATCGCAACTTCCTACCGCCGCAACTCCATGTCTCATATACCACCACCTCCGCCTACCACCCCCCGCCTCCTACCACTACCAATGCAGTACAAAAAAGCGCAATCGCATGGTAGGTAGGACTATCAGATTGCTTATGCTAACCAAGGCCTGGCTTGGGCTACCGGAGGGGGAAATATGGGAAGAGGTAGAGGAAACCCATGGGGAAGATGGGAACTATGAGGCAGACACAGAAGTATTATAGTGGGTGGTGTCAGAGGACTCAATGCGCAGCGGGGAATGGAAGACGAAGTGGACAAAATGTGTGAAACTATGGCAGTAAACCGAGCAGCTATGAGAGGTAAGGTAAAAGAATGGCTATGTTCCTCTTTTCCAAACTAATGGTAACAACAGACGTATAAATGAAAACACAAACAGTAAACTCTGACTCTTCTATCGATCACCACACCAATCTCTATCTCTCCATGTATGCTCTCCTTTCTGCTGCACACTCCCGTAATAACAAAGGAAAGACATGTTCAATGAATCTGTTCCGCCAATCTCACAACCTCATACAGCAAGACTTCCGAACCTTCTACAATCCATTCCAATCAATCCACATCCTTCCATGACCTTCAACACTCCCCCCGAAACTCGCTACTCTCAATCATGCTGAGACTAGGCCGAGTTTCCTGACCAATTCCATCTGCTTAACCTTTCCGTAGATCGTGGTAAAGCCATCGGCAATCATTTCGGTCGACGGTACATATGAGATCGTGATCATACCATCACGAATCTGGTCTTGAATCCA